TAAAATGATAACCATTGATAATTTCCTACCATTTTGTCTGTAATTTGCTAAGTCCCCCCTATTATTATGTTATCCTTCTTTTATTCTTTAAAATAAAAAAAAAAAAGATACAATGTTAGGATAGGAAGCACTTGTGAATATGCTATAGTATAAGACTATGTCTGAATAAAAAGGATCTTTTAAACTGGGTTTAGACTAGCTGTAAATAGATATAGCTAACACTGGAAAATTAGAAAATATCGGGACACAATCCTACCGAATTTCTTAAGACACAAAAGAACAGAGTCATAAAATGATCAACTGAAACAAAGCAGGAGAAAAAACAATTATACGGCATTAGAAACAGCACAAATTAAATAGAAAACAGAAAAAAGCTCTATAAAAATTCTAATATACTTACAAAAATTTTAGCATTGTGAAATAATCTCAGTTTTACCATCTAAAATGTATAAATGTTTCAAAGAATCAGGCTTTAAATTATAAACATATTAAATTTCCATTTGTAAATGAAAATATGAAATATTTTTAAAATGTAAGACGCATAAAGGCAAGTATAGACTGAACAGAAGGCTATTCATTAAGATAAATTAGCATAAAGTTAATAAAATTTTCCAAATTTTTACTAATTTGACAGTTGTCAACCTGTACCTAGAATAAAATAAGGTATTGGCCACCATGGGTTCCAGCAAGTGGTGCACCACTGGTAGGAACACAGTATCCTGAAAGGCCCAGCAGCACCAGCAGCTGGTGAGGAGAACCAGTGCTATGCTTCAGCACACATACAAGCAGGTAAGAGCCAGCGGGAGGGGCTGCCATTTTACTCCAAAGAGAACAAGGCAAACCCCAGCAGCAAAACAGGCCTGGGTTGCTTCACTGCAAAAGCCCCATAATGGAATAAGGAAGGAGCCATCCAGCACAGTGGACTGCTGGCAGTTGGGAAGCAGGTGACAGGGACATGTGCTGAGACGTAGGAGCTGGGACCACCCAGGCTCCATTCAGGTGGTTGCCAAAAGCCACTCTTAGCCCTAAATACAAAGGACCAGAAATGCCCTTCTGGTCTGGGATCAGCAGAGCAGCCCTGACACAGCAGCACAAGCAGGCAAGCAGACTTGTGCTGCAGTGGGACAAGCACTGCCCTATGATCAGTGGGTAAGAGGAGCTAGTGGTGCGGATCAGAGGAGGCAGTGCAAAGTCTGGAAGGAGACAACTGTAACCAGGTCTGGGAACAAACCTGGGCTTTCCTTACCAGAGAGTGCCACAGCAACTGGTATAGCACCACAGAGAGAAACGCAGTAAGGATAAGTAGACACCCAAAATGTTGCCATCTGAAGACCAGTCCTAGCAGCCACATCCAAAGGGCAAGATCAGCCCATCACCTAGGACAAACTACTGTAAACTTTGTGCGACTACACGGCACACTCTGGAATCTGAATAGGACACTACCACAGAACTGTGAACACAAGAGGAATTTTATTATCTTTATTTTTCTTGTTTGGTTTTCCTGTTTCAGGCTGACTGGGACAGGTTTTTGTTTTGTTCTTTTTTGTTGTTGTTGTTCTGTGTTTTGTTTGCTTGTTATTTCTTGTTTTCTTTTTTGAGGGGGTTGTTTTTTGACTAATTAGATTTCTTACCTGTATTTTTCTTTTGTTCTATTCATCTTTCTCTCTTCCCTCAACTATCTCACTTGATTTTATGATTCTTTTTTTTTAATTTTATGATACTTTCATGAGAATGAACAGTCTCTTCTTTTTCTGGTTTGCTTCAGTATTTTTGTTCTTTCTCTTTCAGTCTTTTTTTTCTGCAGTATTCTCCAGCCTCCCCTGGGTAATCATCCTTAGCCTTATGGCCTTGCTTCTACTATATTCCTCTATTCTTCTCTGTGTTTTGTCTCCCATCCCT